GTTTCCCTTTCAGAGCGGAGAGGAAGGTAACAACCTTTCTTATCCTATCTGTGAGGAGGAAAGTGACACCCTCCTCTCCCATCATTTGGATGGAGGGTAATGCTTCCCCCTCCCCCCTCCCTAATCACTTCCGCTGTGCTTGGCCATGCGAGCCGCTACAGCCTCCGTCGCCGCCGCCTCCACCGCCCGGTCAACGCACGGTCAACACCTTAAGTGTGTGTTTCCAAGCTCTAACACTTTATTTGAAAGATAAAGAAGTTTGTTTAAAATTCACTATGAATACACAAAGGTGTAGAAACACAGCCCCGAAAGTTGTACTATTTTCTTCAATGACTGGTTGCAGTAAATTATCTGTTACAAGCAAACACAGGATAGTTACATCATTTCAAGCACAGTTTATTATTTTCATTAATAACCTAACTTAACATACATTTATTGGTTTATATACTGTCAGTTTACATATTCCTCAATAAGCAGACAATCTAGCACATAGTGTTTAAGAAGTACAAAGCTGGCTGCATATAATCATCGTGTGTAAGTGGTGTGTGTATGGTAAACTAATAGATGTGATTGTAACCAGGCTCAAGCTACTGCATCATGTGTCAGTATTTACAGGAAGCTGTGAGGTAGAATAAGCGAGGGTAGCCACCCTTACGTCGCTGCTAATGGACGGGAAGTTATCCTTTGAAGACCGAGCTGTGAGTAGCGGCTTTTCTTACATCCAGATGACATGAATCGCGTTCATGATAGCGAGATGATAGCCAAGTGGCGGGAGGTGGTAATGGTAGTAGTGGTGGTAGTAATGGTGTTTTGTCTGTCAGGAGAAATGGGTGGGAAGATTCCTGGAGGGAGTTTTGTAAGGAGGAAGGAGTAAAGTAGAGACGCAAGGAGGGGGGAAGGAGGGAAACTCGTCTAGACATGGGAAAGTAACCAAGAATTTCTTGATTGCAGGGAGATGGGGAAATGGTAACGAGGTAAGGCAGGGGCGGGGGACGCGGGGGTCCGGAGAGCAGGGAGGTGTCGGGGGAATTCTGGAGAGGAGGGAGATATCAAGAAGGACGGGAGGATGAAGGTGGTAAGGGAGCCTGGAGGAAAAGGAAGGTGTCAAGGGAGCCTGAAAGGAGAGGAAGGTGTCAAGGAAGCCTGAAGGCGTGGGAAGGTGCCAAGACAGCTTGAAGGAAGAGGAAGCAAGGGGTGCAATCTTACACCCCTTGCTTCCACGACAAACGTCTAAACCAATCCCTATGGACACTGGTCCAAAAAATATGAAGGGGAGGCAGGTAAAAGTCAACTTATCCTGAGTGAACATCAATATACCTGCAACAACGGGGAGAAGTAATAAAAAATACAGACACGATGGAAGAAGAAACACAAAACCAGTATAATGGGAACCTTTTTTTTTTTTTTACGTTTAGCCCACGAAGCGGGTTTTATCGTTACAAACAGATCTTGAAGAGAGAGAGAGAGAGAGAGAGAGAGAGAGAGGATGAGAACAGGAGAGAGGAGTGACGTGAGGCGAAGAATCAGGTTAGGTATGCTGAAGCTATAAAATTGCACAGCTTTAAAAACAAGTTGAACAAATATGTGATGATGAAGTCTAGGATTTCAGAAGAACCTGTAGGTCTACTGAAGTCCTACCTCCATACTTGTGAACTGTTGCTAGGTGGGAAATAGATCTAAACAAAAGCTATCAGACAAGAGTCACAGCTATGTTGCAGAAGCTGTTATTCTAGGTAAAACTGTTGGGCATATTGCTGAATGAAGATCCGTTGCCAAGGAAGAAAACATCCATTGAAGTAAATAAATAACAATTTTAACTAAACAACGGCTAGAACATGGTTAAGCCTCTTGCCAAGACTCTTCTAGATCAATTTCCCACACAGCTCCATCCCTGACATACGTGTTATTCCTGCCGTAGAAGTAGTCTCTGTTTTTCTCCATCCAACAATTAACACCAATTGCTTTGGACATCAATTCATTTCCATTTTACCTCCTCGGCAAAATGCCACATATTACAGGGATCCTTCTCTTCATCTTAATTACATTTATTGCTGTTCTATACCTGCTAATCAGGTTCCCACTTCTACGCTTCCGAACTTCATTATCGCCAGCACTGAGGCAGATAGTCACGTTCAGATTACCAGCCCATGATGTTTTAGAGTCGGCTGACAGTATCTTGTATCCCTGCCCAAGGAAAACACACACTCAGCCTCCTTTTCTGTCCTCAGTAACAAGAGCCCTGTCCATAAACTTAATCTGATAATTTCCCCAGAACATTCATCATTGGTATGTTCTCGATGCCCCATTTACACTCGCCATGCAGCATAGAAAAGAAATCTGCAGTCGCCACAGCAGTCTCAAAACTTTTCTCATCTTCAGGTTCAGTCCTTTCCTTTCCATCAGTTTCCAGTCTTGTAGCAGGTCTCATCACTGTCGCTGGTGGTTTCCTCTTTCCCGTTCAGGAACTAACCCTCAGTAGGCCACAGTATGCCAAGAACAGAGATCAAGCTAAGCAGGTCTTCACTAAACACAGGCCCACTCGCCTCTTTTATTAATGTTATTCTTAATCCTCTGTTAAACGTGGTTAATACCCCAAAACAGAAACGTTGATAATATTCAAGTGTTTGCTCACGCGTCTTTTTCGTAATCACTTGTCAGAAAATATTACCAAGGTTTATACTATACTGTCCAAAACTGCAATAAACTTTGATTAAGCTCCTGTGGATGGACTTGGTGTCCTCCATGGGTACACGACCTCTAACATTTTTCCTCTTCTAACTCTCGGATTTTACCCCTCACTGTTAATTTCTTGGTCTACCCTCTGGTTTTACAACACTTTTATGACCCTCACTCTTGCTTTCAGCTTTCCCTCGTTCCTTTCATCCCTTTGACCTACAAACATTTTACATTTTGACCCTTTCTTCACATCCTTGTATTGTATTCTATCTCTTATTATGCGTTTAGAGAAAAATTTAAGAACAGTTAGAGAATATCTAAATAACAGTTATAGAAAATTTAAAGAATAATTAGAGAATGTTTGAAGAATAATTAGAGAACTTTTAAAAAATGACTAGAGAAGTGTAATTACGAATGATTCTAACTCGTAAAATAGGAGGTAGGAGATAAAATTTTATTTAATATTTTTAATATAAATAAACTATTATATAGTTATTATTATTATTGTTATTAGTAGTAGTAGTAGTAGTATTTTACAGCCATAGGGAAGCGTTACCTCGTATAATGATGTGGCTATGTAAATGTAAAAAAAAAAAAAAAAAACTCTTACAGCAGTATTGTAAGCTGGACGTCTTTACTTACGCTGACAGTATTCTCATATTCTCACCATGACTATCAACCTGGTTCATCAGGCTATCAACCAGGCCTCATGTAGAACCGGGGCGTGGGGACGGTGACCCTCCCCCCCCCTCCCTTCCCGAAATCATCTTCAGGTAACCTTCCGGTTACTGCGGGGTGAATCATGCAATCTTGGGGCGACCTTCATTCATTCTTTTCGTGAATTAGTCACATCATACTGAACAATGTAGCTTTGTTTCTGCTTCCTTCCAAAAAGTTATTATATTCGTGGGGAAGAGCTAAACTCTTAGGGGTCATACAGCACCTTTGGAATAGAAGGTAATCATATTCTATCAAGAGGAGGGGTAACTTAAATTTTCGGATCAAAAGCCTTTCGCCAGCATCGAGATGCCTCACTGCAAAGGTCCTTAACAGCTAAAGAATATCCAGACATCATCTTGCGTCGCGGCGTAGGCTTGGAAGGTTGACCTCATCAGATAATTCATGGTATTATTTATTCTCATGGAAAGCGCTGTGCCGTTAAAGGGCACTGAGTATTGTGCCACGGAAATGAAAGATGTCTTAAGAGGAAGCTGAGAGGTGGAGGTGTTGAGGTAAAAACGTGAACAAAAGGAATGGAGGTCACAGGTGATGAGTATGGAGGAGAGTTCTAACTCATTGTCAATTGGTGGGAAATTTGCTTGTGGATAGCCTCTTGCCTACACTTTGTGCTCTGTGGTGATGAAGAGCATTGTGTCGGCTGATGGGACACATCGTACTGGGTGATTAGCACAGTGTATCTAGATGGAACACACTGTACCAAGTGATGGAACATACCGTACCTTTCTCATGCAATTTTTCTGCATCGTTACTGAAATATAAACACTACATACAAGCCTCTTCCATACTTATGTAATTATTTTTATGCATTTTAGGGGTCATGCAGTGCTTGGAGAATGTGAGAGAAAGTGGGCTCATCCAAGAAAGTAGGATCAAAATCTCTTTACCAAAACAGAGGCTCCTTTCTTGAAGAGAATAAACCAAAACATACGACTGAAGTTGCTTTCCGAAGCTCTCATTAAATATGTATTTACGTAAATATTTTATGGACTCAACAAAATCAAATGGAAGTGTTTAAGTACATGCTTTAAGTAATTTTATCGATGAAAATGCAAAACAAACAATAATTGTGTTTTTTTCGAAAACAGTAACAAATCCTAAACTTATATAATTAAGCAGTGATTATCTTGTACTATTGAACATTTTTTTTTAACCAAGTTTGTGACAAGGTATGTACATTTCATTTTAGATTTAAACTATGTTCTTTAGTATTCTTAAATCACACTGTTCGACACTGGAATTCGAAGGAATTTTCAGAATCTAAGCCTCTATTCAGCTTTAAAAACAGAAATATCGTGCGGTAACGTTTACCTCTAGTGGGTTTAATGTCAACATGACAGAAAATAAATTTTCCATATAACGTTTCAATTCATGTATATAATGCAATATGCTATAATACACTGTTATAAAGAGAAACAAACAACGTTTTGCTCGTTTCGAGATTAACGCCTCTAATAAATGTGGGCAAAATTTATTAGACGGTCCTTACCATTCACTTTGTCTTGCAAGTTGAATTATCTTGTGTTTTCCGTACCCTTCTGTATAACGTGTAACACCTATTGATCACTCACCATCTTTGCTCGCAGGTCACATACTACGAAGGAAAAACAGCTTCAATGCTCTTCGGCTGTGCCTTCGCCGAGGTATCCGTGGCGGAAACAAGCGAGGACATCGTTCCCATCTTCACTTCGCTCATTAGACGGGCCAAAATCAACGCCTGCCGGTGCCCCAGTCTCGCGGCTTTTGTCTTCGACCCTGTTATCTGTTCTTGCTCTTGTAGAAGTACCTTTTTACCTGACAATCACACTTGCACACAATGTTGCTTCTCAGGAAATTCACATAAATGTAACAAGAATGGGAATCGACTTTTGCGAAGTGGGACTGTAGGGAATGGAAAATGTCGTGATCGGAGTGTTTATGGGGAAACCAGTGAAGTGAGGAGACATGATAATGAGAGGACGAATAGAAAAGTAAGTCATAATAACAGAAAGAAACTAACTGTACGATCTTTCAGCTCTCCTCTTTACATCTCTGAAAATATTTATAGTGCTAATTCTTTAAACAATCATTCATATAGGCAATCACCAAACAGCTCACCTTCGAGGCTGCCATTAGCAACAGACAGAACCTCAGCAACAAACCCCTCACCCTCGAGTCTCACAGAAGGTAGAGACGAAACCTCATCATCGAGCATTTGGGCTACGAGGTTTCCAGCAGTAGCAACAGAAAGAACTTCAGCAAAAGATATAATCTCATCTACGAATTCCTCGCCTTCGAGGATAGCAGCAACATTAGACATGACCTCAGCATTGAACACCCCAACTTCGAGGTTTCCAGCAGCAACAGACAAAAGCAGAGCATCGAACACCTCATTTTCTAGGAACCCATCAACAAAAAACAGGACCTCGACACCGAACTCCTCACCTAGAATCCTAACAGCATCTAACATTACTTCGTCGAAGGAGGAAAAACAGAACACCAAAAACGATAATAAACATAAGTTTCCTGATTCAGGTAACATGCGTGGGAATTTGTGCCGGTCATTAAGCTCTCCAGAGGAATACACGGAAAGATGGGCCTGCGAGGATAAGTCTCCTCCTGGACACGGTACTAGTTCCGTCAAAGGATCAAAGAAAGAAAGATTCTTCTCCAATTTAAAGAATCAGGAGTTAAATCTTTCGCTGTTCTCCAGAGGGAGGTCATTTATGTTGGACACTAAAAAAAATGTAAAAAAATCAGAATGTTCGTGTAGGTATCGTAACAAATCTTTTAAAAGTAGCGGGAAGGTAGAAATTGTCACCATTAAAAAATGTGAAACTAACCTCAGTTGCAAAGAGGAAGGTGTTCTAAATCGATCACAGTCCCCTGGTCTTCATCAAGACAAACGATCATCTAAATTTTCTGGAGTTAAGTTATCCAGAAAAGATTTAAGCAGTGCACAATCGAGCAAAACAGAGACTAATGAGCACCGCTGTTCCTCTCCTTTATCAGCAGGTTGCACGACTCCAGGACTACCAAAAAAGTTTCTTTTTGATCATTTAGAAAATGGAACAGATGAAGATGGTGGTAGTTCTACCAAAGGTGGACGCCAGAGGAAATTCTCTGTATTCGGGGTAGGCAGGGCACTGGGAAACTTCCTCTCTAAGGGTTCCCTACCTGACTTGCCTCGAGCCACAGCTAACATCTGTGACAAGTTTGGGTCTCTGAAATTAACGCTCAAGAAGCGGTCTGTGTGAGTTTGGTGTCTAATTCCAGTGACCAAATAATGTGTCCAAGAATGCTGTCTTTTGGCTTACACAAGACATTCGCATAAACACTACCCATTTCTGTGATATCATGTAAACATTAACAAGTTTCTTATGAAATTAAACAAACAGGGGTTCATTTTCAGGATCGCCACAATGGGATGCCGTAAGAGAGAAGAAAAAAAACCCCAGTTGATCACTTGGAAGCAGACAAACTCAAAGAATTGGGTTACACTGATTTCGAAGAGCATGATTTATATTTTTCTTTATCCAATTTTGTTAGAAAAAAAAAAGTTATTTCGAAGAGCCTGAAACCCATTTCTTCGAGATTGTCTGCTTCCATGTTATCAGCCGAGGGAAATTTACCCTATTATGTAATGATACATTTCATCTCCATTAGGCTGCTTTTTTGCTTTTTCTAAAATAACCAATGTACAGACCATGATAGCTGACAAGATTATTATTCTTTATTTTACCCTGTGTCTTAGTTCAATATTATAGACTACTGCGAGAACTGAATTTTGAAAGTCCGAATCTCGTAACATGATGCGGAAAAAAGCTTGGCTTTAGGAATAACACAAAGAGGACTGCACCATTCCGGAAAGGCCTTCGGCCTGAGGCATAGAGAGGTGTGTGTTCTAAAACCATTTTATATGCACGCCCTCATCCCACACACGTGTCGCAGCCGCTCGTTAACTATGGTAGTTCCAATAACGAAAGAGCTAGGGACGATGAGGACACTGCCCTAGGGAAACCATGATGGATGCTTATCTTTGCCACTTAAAACATTCACTTCTGTTCACCCCCTTGATGGAGAAGAGATCTTAAATCATGTAACCGGAGCTTCTCTCCTCTCTCCGAGCAAACCTGTAGGTGGCTTAGGTAAATACAGGCGTATACACCATCCATGATGTGTTACGCAGCTACTGCAGCTGACACTAACGACAAACAGTTGACTTTACAATGAACTCTACAGCCTACACTGACTAAGACATTAACAAAGTGGACAGAGATAGTGAAGTGTTGAAAGTGCTCGGTGTAGACAGTGTTATTGTTATGTAGACTGTATTAGTGTTGTGTAGACAGTGTTAGTGAGATGCAGTGATTGTCTGGTGTAGGCAGTGCTAGTGCTGTAGCCATTTGTCATTTACAAGTCACAGTGTGACTTGTAAATGTTACAAGTCGGACTGAAACTTTGTCATACGCTTCTCTCTCTCTCCTATTTGCGGGTTATTTGTGCAAACTAAAGTTGTGTTGGTATTAATACTCTCGTGAGGTCACCAAATACAAGAGCTTCTTAAAGTATTATTTTACTGCGTTGTATATTCACCTAGGGTGCCAAGTTCCACTTATCCAGCGATCAGGTGAGCTGGATCCTTTACCCTGGTCTGGACTCACAAACCAGGCATCATCAAGGACTCATCTTGATGAGTGTAACAGTGTTCAGTGTACTCGTGATTGACAGCCCCCCCCCTGAATGTTTAAAAGTGTGTGTTGTGGCTGGCTTTCTCCTGCTGTAAGACTGACAGTAATCAGTCAGGTTAATAGGTTGAACATTAAAATGGTATAAAATACCGACAGGTTGTTAGGTAAGACACATATGCAACAGTTAGGTATCTTTATTTCGAAACGTTTCGCCTACACAGTAGGCTTCTTCAGTCGAGTACAGAAAAGTTGATAGAAGCAGAAGAGACTTGAAGACGATGTAATCAGTCCATCACCATTAAAGTTTTGATATGGTCAGTCCCTCAGTCTGGAGAAGAGCATTGTTCCAAAGTCTGAAACAATATGGAGTTGAAGTGTATGTATAATGTTCGCCAAGACCGTAGTCCTGGCACGGGTCTCAATCTTGCGATGACCCGTCTCTGGCTCCCGAGGGAGAAAGGTTTCTACAATGATGCGACATATGCTGCTCAAGCACTCTTCTGGTCAGTTCAACTGGTGCATCTCATAAGCGACAACACCGTATGTACTCCTAACTATGGACACTAGCGAGGAGGAGGATATGTCGTTATCACAGGCAACAGCTTGTCTGGTTCGTTGACTCCATGGTACACTAGTGTGGCCGCAGTCATCTCTGGTACCTCTTCGGGAGGGAATATCACTCCTAGTTGCCTGCGGAGTGTCTCAGTAACTTCGCACTCCAGAAGATAGTGTGTTAGGGGCGCTGGACAACGTGCTGACAGTACTGGCACATCTCCTCCTCAGCCTTGTCTACCATCATCTTGGCTGTGGGAAAGCCCAAACGAAGCCGATGGATGGCGGTACACTGCGCTCTGGACCAGCTTCTATCATATGGAGGGGGTTCTCCCTGAGTCGCTACTCGGTACCACTGTTGAGATGGGGTATCACCTAAGACCTCCCCCATAAGTTTCATGGCTCTGGCAGCCACCAGTTTGGTCTGTCGTAGGCTGATTGGGACAGTAATCCCAACATGTGGATAGTCTGTTGCTCCCTTTGGCTGCATCATCTGCCCCCTCATTTCCCCGGATGCCAGCATGGCTGGGGATCCAGTTCAATGTCGATCTGTTACCCTGAACTTCTAAGGCTGTCATTATGCTCAGGATCGATGTGATGAGGTGAACATTGTCCTGTGGTTGAGGATGAGAGAGGGCATTGATTGCAGACGTGGAATCAACATGTATGACAGGTCGGAGTCGATGTCGTAGAGCATGTGACAATGCCTGCTGAATCGCCACCAGCTCAGCTTGAAGGATCGTGCAGTGGTCAGGGAGTCGCCAGCCTTGTGTGTGACCATTGTGGTACAGTCCAGCTGCTGCTCTCTTCCTGTCAGGGTCGACAGAACCATCTGTGAAATACATTGCACATGTGCCTCATGTGACAGGATGGAGCCTTATATAGCGCCAGGAGGTGAGATGTAGGTCACTAGTAGAACGCAGATGTTGGGAGGCCAGGTCTCTCTCAAATCCAGCCGTTCTCACTAGTAGAGGTTGTCGAAGATGATTTCAGGTCTGTACCAAGATACCCTTGTGTTAAGTAAAAGGACACAAGTGCAACTAATGTGACATTTTATTGTGGCAACGTTTCGCTCTCCAGGAGCTTTATCAAGCCATTACAAACAATACAAGGACACAGAGGGTATATTACTACTACTACTACTACATCTTCACTACTACTACTACCACTACCACTAGTATCGCACCTCACTCTGAGCCTATATATACCCTCTGTGTCCTTGTATTGTTTGTAATGGCTTGATAAAGCTCCTGGAGAGCGAAACGTTGCCACAATAAAATGTCACATTAGTTGCACTTGTGTCCTTTTACTTTACATATTGTCGGTAATTCTACCAACTTTATTACATACCCTTGTGTTGCAGTGTCTGACAGGTTGAACATTAAAATGGTATAAAATACCGACAGGTTGTTAGGTAAGACACATATGCAACAGTTAGGTATCTTTATTTCGAAACGTTTCGCCTACACAGTAGGCTTCTTCAGTCGAGTACAGAAAAGTTGATAGAAGCAGAAGAGACTTGAAGACGATGTAATCAGTCCATCACCATATCAAAACTTTAAGGGTGATGGACTGATTACATCGTCTTCAAGTCTCTTCTGCTTCTATCAACTTTTCTGTACTCGACTGAAGAAGCCTACTGTGTAGGCGAAACGTTTCGAAATAAAGATACCTAACTGTTGCATATGTGTCTTACCTAACAACCTGTCGGTATTTTATACCATTTTAATGTTCAACCTGTCAGACACTGCAACACAAGGGTATCTTGGTACAGACCTGAAATCATCTTCGACAACCTCTACTAGTGAGAACGGCTGGATTTGAGAGGGACCTGGCCTCCCAACATCTGCGTTCTACTAGTGACCTACATCTCACCTCCTGGCGCTATATAAGGCTCCATCCTGTCACTTCAACTCCATATTGTTTCAGACTTTGGAACAATGCTCTTCTCCAGACTGAGGGACTGACCATATCAAAACTTTAAGGGTGATGGACTGATTACATCGTCTTCAAGTCTCTTCTGCTTCTATCAACTTTTCTGTACTCGACTGAAGAAGCCTACTGTGTAGGCGAAACGTTTCGAAATAAAGATACCTAACTGTTGCATATGTGTCTTACCTAACAGGTCAATAGGTACATAACCCCGACAAATAAATCATCTGGGGGATGGGGTTGAATCATACGGGGAATAGAGCTAAATCATCTGGGGGATAAGAACTTATGAATAAAAGAATGGAGGAACACTACAGAAGGCCTACTGGCCCACAGCAAGCAGATCCTCATCAAAACAACCACTACCCAAAGCTACCCAAGAATTTACTCCAGTACCCACGACACCAATCAAACCCAGCCCCTCCCACTCATATATTCGTCCAATCTCTTTTTAAAGCTACCCAAGGACCTAGCCTAGATCACCCTACTCGGAAGATTGTTCCACGCATCCATAACTGATTGATAAATTAGACACATATGCAACTAATTTATCAACATGTCGGTTCTCTGAACCATTCATCTACGCATCCATAACTGTTCGAAAACCAGTACTTACCCATGTCCTTTCTAAATCTAAATTTATCCAACTTAAATCTGTTATTTCTGGTTCTTACCTGGTTCAACATCCTTAGTACTTTATTATCACCTTTGTTTATGCCCATCATCCACTTATACACTTCGATGATATCTCCCCCTCATTTTACGTCTCTCCAAAGAGTGAATATTCAAGGCTCTAAGTCTATTTTCATACGGGAGATTCCTTATACAGTAAATCATTTTAGTCATTATTCTCTGTATGTTCTCCAATTAATCTATATCCTTCCTGTAGTAAGGAGACCAAACTTGCGCGGCATAATCCAAATGAGGCCCCTCACTAGTGATGTATAGAACTGTAAAATAACTTTTGGTCTTCTGTTACTTTTTTTTTTTTTTTTTTTATCACACCGGCCGATTCCACCAAGGCAGGGTGGCCCGAAAAAGAAAAACTTTCCCCCATCATTCACTCCATCACTGTCTTGTCTTTAAATAAATCCTAGTAATCTGTTAGCCTTATTGCGCATACTTAGACACTGTTGTCTTGGCTTTAGATTTCTGCTTACCATGACTCCCAAGTCTTTTTCACATTCGGTATGATCAAGCTCTACTTCACCTAGTTCATAACTTCGAAGGTTATTTTCATTCCCAAGGACTAGGACTTTACACTTGTCCACATTGAACCTCATCTGCCACTTTTCAGACCAAGACGTTAATTTATCCAAATCCTCCTGGAGTTCACTGGTATCCTCCTCAGAATGAATCATACGGCCTATTTTTGTATCATCAGCAAATATGCTCATGTTGCTGAATCATCCTGAGGAAGGGGCTGAATCATCAAGGATGGGGCTGAATCATCGGGGGGGGGGGGGGGGGGACTGAATCATTCTGAGGACTGACACACTTATGATTATAAACATGGTTATCATCTCAAATCGTGGCACCAACATGGCCACAAAGCTTGGCACCATCACACTGTGGCACCAACATGGCCACACAGCTTGGCACCATCGCATCATGGGCAAACCAAAACCTACATGTGACACCCACAGTAACCTAATACAGAAAACCAACGCGTCCTCGTAGTCTTGTATAATGAGCGTCTGGTTTCCAACTAATCGGGTCAAGGCAGTGTATTGTTCAAGCTTATCTTGTCGCTGTTCCTATGAGGTAGAATTCCTTCTTTACGATACATTTTTTAAGATTTTTTTTTAATGTGAGTTGAAGTTGCCTCAACAAAAGTTATATTGGATGGAACTCTTTATTACCCAGCCACCGATTTGTTAATTATAAAAATGGGTCCGACCGTGTACAGTATTACCAGATGAAGTTAATTTGTTATCAACAACAAAACAACAGGTTATGAAGAAGGTATAAGGAAATTTTGGAAATAACTAATTGTAGGCAATTTGTAATGAATCGACCCGGATAACAATTCTCAGACCCCACAATGTCTCATTTTAAAACCTTTTACCATAGCTTATAGAACAGCATGGGTAAATCAGAATGAGAATAATAGAGAACTACAGTGTAGAAATATCAATTACAAAACAGTGATTACTAAGTAATAACAGATTACACAAATGTAAACCAAGGTACCTGGAGGTTATTCCGGGGATCAACGCCCCCGCGGCCCGGTCCATGACCAGGCCTCCCGATGCATCAGGGCCTGATCAACTAGGCTGTTACTGCTGGCCGCACACAGTCCAACGTACGAGCCACAGCCGGCTGATCCGGCACTGACTTTAGGTATCTGTCCAGCTCTCTCTTGAAGGCAACCAGGGGCTTATTGGCAATTCCCCTAATGCTTGATGGGAGGCTGTTGAACAGTTTTGGGGCCCCGGACACTTATGGTGTTTTCCCTTAGTGTACCAATGGCGCCCCTACTTTTTATTGGGGGCATTTTGAATCGCCTGCCCAGTCTTTTACTTTCGTAGGGAGTGATTTCTGTGTGCAGAT